CCAGATTGATGGGGTTCTTACCTGAGTTCTGCTATTTATCGGCTCCTAGTTAGCCTTGGACGTGTTGTTTAACCTCTGACTCAGTTTCTCTAGCTATAAAATGGAGATGACAACAGTCCCTAAGTCAAAACATTGTTGTGAGTGTGAGTGAGATAATCTACATTAAAGCTCACTAAATAGTATAAAGCAACCAATATTAAACCAATAAGTATTAGGTATTATTACTGTTATAAATTTATTGATGCGAAAAGATCCGATACAACCTATATCCATCAATGAGAGACGCAAATCGTGCTGCATACATAATACAAAATGCTTTTCAGCATCTAAAAAGAATACCATGGCTTTGTGTGTATGAATAAAGAATGCTCTCCGAGAAAAAAGCAAGCTGTCAGATTAATTAATTAATTACACAATTTAATTTTAATTAAATTATAAAATTTAATTAATTTTAATTTAATGAAGGAAATGGGAATCTTTCTGAGCAAAACACCATAGCAAAATGTAATGTTTCAGGTAAACGTTAATTTGAGTACGTAGGCTACATGCATACACTTCCACCTCAACTTAAACTTAGTAGGTGTCAAAGAGTCAAGTTTTCTAATTTGAGGTGTCCTACCTGACAGAAGGATATCATGGCCTTACTTAATTTCTGGGGTGGCAAGAAGAAAAGCATGTTTCTAAAGACATGGTTGAATTAGCAAACAAGAGAAGTTACCAGTTGTTGAACAGTAATGACAGTATGCTTCGGCAGAGACTGAGCGATTTGGAGAGACAGAACATGAATAAACTGAAGGAGAGTGCAGTCAGGGTTTCTGAACAGATTGGCAGCCTCCAAAGGATCACTGCAGAGCTTGAGAAGAAGTGTGGGCAACCTGCCTCCACACTGCTCCAGGTAAGACTCTGGGAAAAACAAACAAACAAAAAAAACCTTCATTACAATATTTGAGAATTGAGAAGGGGACAGTACTCATTAGGGGTCACTTCTAGAACACAATATCCAGTGGTCTTCAACCATACATGAAGTCTATGCAGCTGTTTTCCAGTTGCCAAAAGCATTATGAATTGTCATAAAATCTTGAGATGAGTTCTCACCTTAAAATTATCAACAGGAAGTTGGAACTGAGATGTGCCTCAATAGAGTAAATAATTGGTTATTCAAAAATTAAGGTATCCATACCATGGGATAGCCTGCAAACATAAAAAAGAATGAAACAGATCTATAGGCACTGAAATAGTACCCTCAAGGTAGCTCATTAAGCTGGCTGGTTAGCTTAGTTGGTTAGAGCACAGCCTTATAGCACCAAGGTCACAGGTTCAGATCCCTGTACCAGCAGAAGAAAAAAAAAAAAGGTATCTCATTAAGTAAAAAAAGAAAAATGCAGAACTTCTTTTTGTTTGGTTTTTAGAGAATAAGTATATATATACTTATATAACACACACACACACACGTGTTGTTAACATTCAGACTTTCTCTGGCAAAAGAAACACATTGTAATTAGTGATAACTTTGGGAAATAAAGGTGAGGTTTATTTGTATATTGTTTGCTATAGTCTGAATGTTTATGTCACCCCAGAGCATATATGTCGAAATCCTCACTTCCAAGGTGATGCTATTTAGAACCCTTATTGGCAAAGATTTAGAACCCTTATTTAGAGGTGGAGCCTTTGGGAGGTGACTGGGTCCTGGAGGCGGAGCTGCCATGAATGGCCTTATAAAGAGGCTTGAGAAACACCCCACACCCTTTCTACCAAGTGAGGTTAGAGTGGGGTGAAGACTATCTGAGGGAGTAGGCCCTCACAAGATACCAAATCTGCCAGTGCCTTGATCTTGAAATTCCCAGCCTTTGGAACTATGAGAAATAAATTTCCACTGTGTATAGCTTTCAGTGTATGGTATTTTGTTACAGCAGTCTGAGCAGACTAAGTATAGTTTATTTTAATTTTGTACAGTAACATGGCATTACCTTTTCAGAAAGTAAGTTATTATCTTTTTAAGACTGTCCATAGCCCTCTTCCAGGTACATATTTGCAATGTTAGTACATGCATTTTAAAAACCTGCAGCAAACCCTTAGGAAACAGTTCAGTTCTAGATCCAAACCTTGTTCCAGAGAGTGCAAGCATGTGTGACCCAATTATGCTCAGTTTCTAACCTGGCTCCAACTACCTCTCCCAGCCTAGGGGACCCCTTCATCTGTTCAATTCTTGCCACCCCCAGCATAGAAAGTGAACAGATGGGTACCATTTGAAGGATGAGTGTTTTGAATAAGATGGCTCAGATGAGGTATAAAAAAAATTTTTCCTTAGGAATATAACAAAATGATTTCCAGAGTTTTTTGGCTTTTCTTACTCCATGTTAGAATTTGATATCTGAAAATTAACACCATGTGGGTGAAGAAATTACATGGAAATTGAGTTCATTATGCCAAGAGAGGATATCTTCATGGACGTAGCTCACAAAGGACTTGGCTCAAATACCCAGTAGTAACTGTGTTTCTTTTTCTCCCCTCAGAATGCAAGACATTCTTTGGAAAGGTAAGTTTTTATTTTGGAAACGGGTCAGAATCAAAGTCTGATGTGTTGAGCACACAGGATGCTGAGATTGGGATAGGGAGGTCACATCTGCTGACAGAATTTGATGAGATCCACTAGATGGAGGGGCCTATGGTCTGTGCAGATAACTGAGACTGTCTTTTCTTTGCAGGAGTGAGTCACTACTGCTTGAGTGTCTAGAACCCGCTCAGATCATGGACCTGAGTTTATGTCAAATAAAAGGAATGAGCAAAATGCTAAGAAAGTTCCAAAGTAAGTTGGCACATACCCATGATTACAGGGCACTTTATTTTTATATTTAAGAATCAAGTGACCATCCCACCATAAATAAAATTAAATTCCAATAGTTGAAAGATTTTAAAAAATTTGAGATCTTAATATATACATGTTAGAAGCTATCAAGAAGATAACTGCATGCTTTTATGTTGAAAGCTTTTCCTATCCAAATTCTTTACTAGTTTCCCAAATCCTGGAACATAACTGCTGGCCAATTACATTACTTAAAAATTTAAAAGTTCTTGGGGGAAAATTCAATCTGAGGAACAAAGGACATATTTCCTGTCCCTATAGTTCTGTCTTTTCCAGAATATCCCTTCAATGGAATCATACAGTATGTGGCCTTTTGAGTCTGGCTTCTTTCAATTAGCCTAATGCAGTTGAGATACATTTAAGTTGTTACATGTACTGGTAGTTTGTTCCTTTTTTATTGTTGATGGTATTTTGTTGTATAAATATACCATAATTTATTTATCCTTTTGCAATTCCATGTACACTTGGGTTGTTTCCAGCTTTGTGCTGTAAATACTTGCATACAGATTTTTGCGTGGACAGGGCTTCATATCTCTTGGTTGACTGTCTAGGAGTGGGTTGGCCAAGCTTGTTTTCCAAGCTGCCTATGGCATTTTGCATTTCCACCAGTCATGTGTAAGGGATTCAGTTATTGTATATCTTGGCATTGTCAATTTGTTTTATTAGATCCAACCTAATAGATGTGTTAGTAGTATCTCATTTTTATTTAATTTGTATTTCCTGAATAACTAACAATGTTGAGCATATTTTCATGTTTTTATTTACCCTCTGTATCTCTGCTTTGGTGAAGAGTATTACATACCTTTTCCCATTATTTTAATTGGGTTGTATGTTTTTCTACAATTTTGCAATTTCTTTACATATTATGTTTAGCAGTCATTTATTAGATACATGCTTTGCAGATATTCTCTCAGTCTGGCTTATATTCTCATTTTCCAAACAGTGTCTTTTAAGGAATAGAAATTTTAAATTCTAAAGTTCAGTTTATCCATTTTTTCTTTTATGTTTTTTGCTTTTTGTGTCCTATTTAAGAAATCTTTGCCTGCCTCAACAGAGATTTTCTTCTGTAAGTTTTATAGTTTTAGGTTTTATATTTTGGTCTATGATTCATATACAGTTAATATTTGTATATGGTTTAATAAATGTAAAACCCTCTCCTCCCTCCCCCCCACCTTTTTTGTGGGGGAAGGGCATGTGGATATCCAATTATTCCAGTTGAAAAAACTATCTTTTGTTGAAAAAACTATCCTTTCTCTATTAAATTTACTTGGCATCTTTGTTGCAAATCAATTGACTTATATGGCCAGGTCTATTTTTAGACTCTAATAGGCCTATTGATTAATCAAGCCCATGTGGTATTTTGCCAGTACCACATGGGCTTGATTGATAACTCTATAGGAAGTCTTGAAAACAGGTACTGTAAGTTTTCTAAATTTATTTTTTTCAAAATAGTTTTGACTATAGATTCTTCTCTTTTCCAGATAAATTTTAAAGTCAGCTTGTTAGCTTCTTCAAAATAACACTGCTGGGGTTCGATTGGTATTATGTTGAATTTATAGATCAGTTAGGGAAAAATTGACATCTTGACAATTTTAAATCTTCTTGTCCAGGAACACAGTGTGTCTCCATTTATTTAGGTCTTTGATTTCTCTCATCAGTGTTTTGTAGTTTTCAACACACAAATATTATATGAATTTTATGAGATTGATCCCTAAGTATTTTATGTTTTTTGGTGCTTTTGTAAATAGTATTTTTAAATATAATTTTCTAATTGAAATTGTATTCATTTCTCAGTTATTACTAGTATCTAGAAATGGAATTGATTTATGTATATTGACATTTGTATCCTTCAACTATACTACACTAATTCATCGATCTAGTGGATTTTTTTTAACAGATTCTTTGGAATTTTCTACAAAGACAGGCAGTCTGAGTATAGGTAGTTTTGTTACTTTCTAATCTGTAAGCTTTTTCTGTATTTTTCTTGCTTTATTGTATTGGATCAGACCCACAATATGTTGAACAGGAGTGGCGAGAGTGAACACTTGTCCTATTCTTCATCTTGGGAGGAAAGAAAGCATTAAGTCTTTCACCCTAAAATTTGATGATACTTGTCTTTCATTAAGTTGAGGAAGTTCTCCTTTGTTTCCAGTTTGCTAAAAATTTTTATCATGAATAGTTGAATTTATCAAGTGCTTTTTCTTTTGAGATGGTCGTGTTTTTTTTTTTTTTTTCTTAATTTGTTAATATGGTGAATTATAATTTTTTTCATATGTTGAACCAGCCTTGCATTCCCAGGATAAACACTTGGTAATGTTTTTTTATCTATTTTATATATTGCTATATTCAATGCGTGAACATTTTGTTAAGAATTTTTACATTTGTGTTTTCATGAGGGACATTGGTCTGTAGCTTTCTTTTCTTATAATCACCCATTGGCACCCAATCTTAATTTATATTGGTTTGATTTGTGGATAATCTGTTTGGTTCTTTTTCAAATCTCTTTAGTCTTGCTTTTTAATTTCCTATGTCCTATAGATATTAAGATTTTAATTTTTCTTCAAACATAATAAGCAAAGTTACTTTAGAGTCTTTGCCCATTAATTCTAATATCTAACGTTACTAACAACAAAACAAAGTTCCTCACACATTTATTTCTGCTAGTCTCACTCAATAGTGGTTTTCTTATTTTGTGGGTGTGTGTTTAATTATTTAGATAGTAAGCTTCTTTTTTTTCTCAGATATTATTTTTAGAAATTCTTTGAGGCCAGGAGTGAAGGTGTACATTTTTCCAGAGAGAATTTGCATTTGTTTCTGAGTCTTCTGGAGATACTAAGAGTCTGGGACAACATGAAATTTAAAATTCAAGACATGGCTTTTGAGAGCTCCCTAATAACAATGTGAATTAGACTGTGGGTCTAGAGATTTAAGTTAATGTAACTTACTGGAATTAAGTAGTAAAACTTACAGAATCTGCTGCTAGGTTGGATGTTGGAGAAAGTAAAAAATAAACTACTCCAGGTTTATGCTCAAACAACTCTAAAGCAATAAGGGTGCTATTAACTGAGAAGCAGAGACTGAAGAGGGACAAGGTTGGACTTTCATTTTGGATGTAGTGCGTTTGAAATTCCTTTGTTTTCTCCATTTGGTATTTGGTAGTTTGTTTATGGAATGAGTCATAAATATATAGAAGGTGTTCAAACCTGAGGCTAGGTGAGGTTACCCAGGGGGAGAGAATGCAAGTAGCAAAAAGAAGGAAGTCCCAGGACTAAGCCCTGAAAAGTTACAATAATTAGAGGTTGAGCAAAAAGAGGTGAGAGATGGAGCAGAGACGTGAAGAGGCATCTTCATTCAAGTATGAGGAGTCACATTGAGCTTTTTTTGTTCTCAGCTTGATTTTTTTGGAGGACTGTCACAGGTTTTCTGACCTCTGCTAATATATTCTCTTTTGATTTACTTAATAATATCAAGGGCCTGCTGTCAGTAATTTCTAGTTATCTCCATCGTACTCTGGGTATATTTAAGATGGGTAGCATAAGTCACAGGGAAGAGCCATGAGTCATCTTCTCTGTTAGCAGACTCCAATGCTCCTGGCTGTGACAGGCTTGTAAAAGATCTTGAGGGAACTAGAGTTGGGGTCCCAGGTGATATCTGGGTGGGACCGGTTACCAGGACAATTTTACAGCCTCTGGGTTGAAGTACAGTCGGCCCTCTGTATCCATGGTTTCCGCACACCAATCGCAGGTTGAAAATATTTGAGGAAAAAAATTGCTCCTGAACAGCTGAAGACTTTTTTTCTTTTCGTTGTTCCCTAAATACCTCAGTATCACACCTATTTATGTACTGTTTATATTGTATTAGGTATTATAAGAAATCTAGAGATGACTTAAAGTAAGCTGGGATGTATATGTACTTAGATTATATGCAAAGACTATGACATCGTTTACAATTTGAGAATCCACTGTTTTCAGTATCCACACGGGTCCTGGAACCAATGCCCCATGGACACCAAGGGACCACTGTACTTCTAAACCTCTCCTCAGCCCGTTAGTCTTTGTTTTGTCCTGCCTCATCAGGTAGATTGTGGACTCTCCTCATTTGCCTGTCCTGTATCTGTGACTAACACTTGTGCCAGCCTCTTGGGAAGCTCCTGCATGTTAAAATCAAGTCTCTGGCATTTGTACTAATGAACCCCCAGGCTGATTAAACTTCTCTCTCCCTATAGGAAATATAACTTTGGATCCTGAAACAGCTCATCCCTGCCTGGTCTTATCTGAGGACCTGAGAACTGTGAGACTTGGAAATATCCCGCAGGATGTGCCTGGCCACCCAGGCAGATATGACTTCAGTGCCACTGTGTTGGGTGTGGAAAGCTTTGCCTCAGGAAGGCACTACTGGGAGGTAGATGTGGGAAAGGCAAGAAAGTGGCAATTGGGCATATACCAAGGCTCTGCAAACAGAAAAGGCCCCACGCCAGACGCTTCTGGAGATAAAGTCTTACTCACGGGATCTGTGATGGGGAAGGACTGTACCTTTTGGGTCTTTCCACCTTTAAAAAGGGTCTCCCTGAAAGAGCAAATGCACAAAGTTGGAGTTTTCCTAGACTGTGAGTATGGGCACATATCATTCTACAATGTGACGGAGAGATGCCTCATTTATAATTTCTCTCATCTCACCTTCCAAGGAGCTCTCAGTCCTATATTTTCTCTTTGTATCCCAAATGGAGACATAAGTTCAGACTCTCTCACTGTCTCCTCCCCTCATGTTCTTTCTTGTAAAGTTTCTGTTAGCCCTGAATCTTCCTTTGTGTGAAATCCTAGACCACAAGAGACCAGAAAGTTAAGAAATCCAATAAAAGACTTCTATGACTTAGAACCGAGTTTTATACCCCATAGCCTTTGCCTTCATATAACTTTCAGCCTTGTAACACCAAGGTCACGGGTTCAGATACCCAGACCAGTCAGCTGCCCCCCTCCTCCCCCCCAAAAATATCATATAACTTTCAGCACCTATTTAGAGGAAGAGGTTGCATTTAAGCAGAAGCATGAATGAGAATAACTGAAAGACCCTACACTAATGAGAACAACAAATGCATATGCATCCTAGGATTGGGAAATTAAGCAAGAAACATAGTCTGGGGTCTAAACATATATCTGAAAGCATTTGCAGAACTAGATGTAATCAGGAATGAAAGCAGGACTTCACATTTGAGTGTATCATCATCACGCCCTGAGTAATGGAGGCATCGTCTTTCTGATTCTATTACTGACATTGAGGCATCCTGTTACTAAACGTGAATATCAAGACTTCCCAAGATTTATCATTTTAAATAAAGAAAACCAACTTAATGTCCCTGGGTGTTTTATCTGGGTAGGGAGGAGGAGTAGTGGAAAATGTGAATATTTTAAAGTTATTTTTTCATGCATTCTTTTCTACTTCTGTTTCAGACAAGAAAAATTAGATTTCTTAAAAGAAGCCTGATAATCCTTTGAAACACATAAATAATATTGTAATGAGGTCTTATATTTTCTTTTTTCTCTATTTGGTGATCCACGGACAAATGTTCTATCTGACATACTTGCTCAGGGGTGGTTCCATAATGCTGAGAAGAAGAAAAGAAAATATTTACATAGGGACTTTCATGTGAAAAGTTTAATGTACTTATCTCCCTTAATATTTTTAACAACCTGTAATATAGGTATGTATTAATCTTATTACTCATGTGGAAACTGATACTCAGAGAATTAATTTTCTTAAATTCACATAACTGTTAAGTATCTAGTAAATAATGATAAGAAATTAAATCTAGATCACCATACCTAAAAGCAAGCGCTCTGCTTTGCCTCCTAATGCAATAAGCACGACTAGGTAGGACAGTGGTCTGATTTTATTCAGATTTCCTAAAAATGCAAGCCAATTTCTACATGAAGTGAAAGTAGTACTTTTTTTTTTTTGTGGCTGGCCAGTAAGGGGATCCAACCCTTGACCTGACGTTAACAGCACCATGCTCTTCTGAGTGAGCTACCGGGCCAGCCCCAGAAGCATGTTACTGACATTTCCATCCGTGGTGTGCTCCAGCGCATGGTGGAGGCCCATCTTCAGGACTGGCAGAGGAGGAGGGAGCAAAAGCAAATATAAGAATTGCTTCTGTTGGACTCATGGGGGTCTGGGAAATGGTGGAGTTTTACAGAGCTATCTTTTGGGAACTGATTTTTAATTGGCTATTTGGAATCCTCAGAATTTTCTTTTAAAACATGTGGGTAAGTTTTTTGGGTTTTTTGGTAGAGATGTAAGCTTTGGAAAAAGTCCATGTGTTTCTTCACACTGAATCCCAAGAAGGTTTGGGGGAAAGTGGCCTTGATCTGAGAAGTGGGAATTAGGTTAGGTCAGTGAGTTAGAGGTGAGATAATTATTTGAAACATTGAGATTAAGAATCCAGAGCAGAAGCGGTTGATTAGAGCGTGGTGTTATAACACCAAGGTCAAGGATTTGGATCCCCTTACTGGCCACCCTTGGGCGGGGGAGGGGGAAACAACAACAAAGCAACAAAACAAAACGAACCCCTTCCCAGTTTCCTGAGGAAAAGATAATGATGATTCATTAACCGTGAAAATGTGAGAGGGTTTAGGAATAAGTGTCTATGATTAATGTTTAAAATCCAATGTATGCAGGTCTTCATGACTATTTATTGAAAATTGTAGGCTAAAAAAATATTCTGGATCAAACATTTACATTGCCATACAACCCACAACAATAAAAATTGTTTGTAGTAATCTGGACCATATGATAAGCCACACCAATGGTTCTTTGTGGGGGCAACTTTGCCCCCACCCCCAAGGAGAACATTTGACAATGTCTGGAGACAATTTTTGGTTGTCACAACACCAAAACAGTGGTGTTACTGGAATCTAGTCACTAAAGACCAGTGATGCTGCTGTATATTCTACAATGTACAGCACACCTCAACAGAAAGGATTATCTGGCTCAAAATATAAGTAGTGCTGAGGCTGAGAAACCCTGATCTAGACCAACAGTTATTAGAAAAAGTGGGGATAGCAAACTTTGAAAACTCAAATCATTATACAGAATGTCATACCATTATCTGCACCCTTTCTTTAAAGTGCAGGAATTCCAAATGCACCTATCTTGTGAGAGCTTTACAAATTATTAACAACCAATTATCTTAGGATAGTGAATTCAAGATCAAGGGAAAATTAATATCATACTTATGAATAGCATACTAATTAATTAACTACCTAGTAGATCTATACTTTTTTTTTTTTTTTTAACATTCTACTTTAATGCTAATGGGTCAAATATGTCCCCTAAAAGGGCATGTATTGGAAACTTAATCTCCATTGTAACACTGTTAAGAGGGTGGAAAATCCAATTATGGTCTTTGAAACTGGGGCCTTTAAGAAGTGATTAGATTGTAAGAAAGAGGTAACAGGTCCTTAACAATCCTCATGAATTTGTTTTTGGCTTCAGCAACATGGGGTATCACATTGTAAGATGGCAGAAGCGGAGAGAGACCCACATGCTCTCCTTTTAAAGCCTTTAGAACCATGCCCATGACCACCATTCTTAACCCATTCATTAGGGCATGGGCCTCAGAATCTAATCACCTCTTCAAGGTGCCACCTTTCTATTACCATAATAGGATTTCCCATCTTCATTAGTTATAATGCGGATTAAGCATCAGTAAATAAAACCTGGGGGACACAATTCAATCCATATTATTTCTCCATTGGCCCTCAACATTTATGTCCTTATGGGTACGTACATTCATTCCATCCCCAAAGTCTTAACTTGTTTCAACTCAAAAGTCTGAAGTTCAAAGTCAGTGAAATCAAAACGAGTTATCTACTTCCAAGATATAATGGCAGGACAAGCATAGGGTATGTATTCCTGTTCAAAAAGGGAGAAATAGGCCAAAAGAAAGTGGTAACAGGTTCTTAACAAGTCCGAAACCCAGGAGGGCAGGCGTTAAACATCTGGTGAATCATGCCGTCCTCTGTGTGCTGGTGTGGTGGGCTTTGCTAGCCGTACTGTACCTCTCGAAACTAACTCTGCTGCTGTAATGCAAAGGCAACCCAGGGCAATACTTATATGAATGGGTGTGGCTGTGTTCCAATAAAATTTTATTTACAAAAACAAGGGCCAGCATCTGCCAAGCCCTGCTATAAATTATTCCTTCCCCCTGTTCAATATTCAAACTGTCCCTCAGGGCCTTCTAAAATTGACTTTCCAAAAGCTTATTTATCTCCCTTTGCAAACACTCTCAACCCTACATCTTCCATTCACGAAAAGTAGGGGCTGAAATGTGCTCTGGTGTGTTTGTTGGTTTATGCTATCCACCTCTGCATTCAGTACAACCTGCTTTCTGTTCCCATTTTTCTACCTACAGGTCTTAATGGCTTCCATATTGCTAAAGGCAGTTGGTTTTATTCTGTTTTCTTATTGCTCAAACTCTCAGCAGTAGTCAATGCTATTAATCCTTCCTCAAGAAATTCTCATTCTTAGAGTTGCTGGATTGTACAAATATGAGACACCAACTCACCCTGTACAGACTTAAAATCTAGGTGTGGGGCAAAAAGATAGTCCATAGACAATTCCAATGTTTGCAGTTGGAATTTGGCATAAAGTATTTACGATTTGAATTATCTGTCCATCCGTTGTGACCCAGCGGTGCCCAGTGCATATCTCCACTCTAGCAAGTTTCACTTTGTCCTGAAATGGGATTGCTTTTCTGTCTCCCCCACTAGATCCTGTGTTTCCTGAGGGCAGAAGCAGTGCCATCCTTTCAATTTCCTGGCATTCTATAGCTCATTGTTGGAGGCCATAAATGTTTAAATAAAAGAATGTATCAAAAGAAAATTCTGTCTTGACCTAATCACCCATTGTCCTCATCTCCCTGCTATTGTGGCTGCTGCTGCTTTCCTTTTAGACTTGTAAATGCGTAATGTAAATACTTCATGCCCACAGCTCAAGCTATTGCCTCACAAGTGATTCCTACATTTATATTTCTAACCCATGTGTCTAACGGGTGAAAACTGGTTCATGAGAAGTTAAAAAAAAAAAAAAAAATCTTAGCTACAACGTTGGCTCATGCCCTCCAAAAGGGCTCTGTACATAAATAACATGGTATATCTGTGGTAGCGAAATTTCATGGGGAAGGGGTGATTAGGGAAAAAGTCTAAAAATTCTCCTTAAGAAACAATAAATGTTTGTGGTGACGGACATGCTAATCAGCCTGATTTGATCACAGTGTGTGCATGTATCGACACATTACTCTGTACCCCGTTATTACATGTCAATTCAAAAATACAAACAATGACATGAAAAAAGTCTTGCTATAAAGGGCAATAATGATAAAAAGGTTGAGAAACATTGCTCTAACCCCAGGGTGTTCCTTCAAGCTTCCTACATGTATAAGTAACTTTTGATACCTCTTAAGCACCCCCAAAAAGTCCCTCAAAATTACATCTTTTCTGCTAAACCGATTGTCATCCTTTGTTCCCCAGAAATGTTACTTTCCAACATGGTCACAGAGTTGTCTCCTTTCTTCTGTCTTCAGTACCATGGTCTAGACCACGTCTGCATTACCACTTTCCGGGTTTCTCTATTTCTCTCTCGACACTTGTAGGATTCTGCACTCCCACCAGCGTGAGCTTTTTCAGTTAGGAATTATGAAGTCACCACCCTGATAAAACTCTTCAGAGGCTTCTCCCTGCTCTTAGAATAAAGGCAAAACCCCTTTCTGAGGCCCTGCATGATCTGACCCCTGCCTATCTCTCCAGCCTCATCTTACATCAAATTTCTCCCACCTGTGCAACTGAACTGTTAGCTATAAACCAAACTTAGAAACCAAAAGAATCAGCACTTCCTTTCAATGTCTCAC